GTGTGTGTGTGTGTGTGTGTGTGTGTGCGTGCGTGCGTGCGTGCGTGCGTGCGTGCGTGCGTGCGTGCGTGCGTGCGTGTGTGTGTGTGTGTGTGTTCAGGAATAGCTTGTTCTGTTTATCGATAATCGCACGTTATTTTGTCGCAACATCCCGAAGTAAGATTGATCTAAAAATCGCGATCACACGAAAATGGATCCTATTTTACTTGCGTTGTGTTAAGAAACACGCTTCAACAATTAAACATATTTAGGTTTTGAATATAATGGACATCTTTTTGAATAAAATTTTTAATAAAATTTTGGAAAAGAAAATTTAATTTTTGGATTTGTAAATAAACCGGTACCATAGATCTTTACTTTCATGATCTATAACTTTTGATACTGTGATTTTAGAAAAAAAATGTCACGCAAGTAAAAGTTGCTTGATTTTTAATCAAGTAGAATCTAATTTTATAATTAACATTACATTAAAATCTTAAAATACTTTTTTACCATTCTCTCGAAAAGATTCCTAAAATTTAATTATATTAATTAATTATTTTAAATACATTTAAAAGACCCCTTTGTAACAAGAAAATTCCCGTATAAATCATTTTTTTCAGTCATTCCTAAAATATTAGTAACACTTTATTTGAGCCATCCTATATATTCATGTTTCTTCTGTATATTCGTCTTTTCTTCGACAGGCGGTGCTTTATTCCTATTGGCGGAGTTCCTGTTCCTGGAGAATAAGAATTAGTAAGATAGAATGAGTTTTATCATTGCTGCTTATTTTTTAAATATGTTTTTAATGCTTATCAATTTCTGATTTTTATCAATAGTGCTGCACCTAAAGGAGATACCATATGACATAAAACCTATTAATCTGATAAGAGATGGTACAGGAGAACAACATTCCGATGAATTCCGCAAGATTAATCCATTGGAAAAAGTCCCTGCACTCCATATTGACAATTATACCCTGATAGAGTCTGTGTGTATATTTCTCGGTTATATCTCTCCTTTCAATTATTGCGATTATTTCTTAGGATTTATAATAAACAGCTAATTTTTTTTATATAGATGAATATTCTACAGTACTTGGAGGAGACTAGACCGACTCCTCCATTGATGCCAACGGATCCTATTAAAAGAGCTAGAGTGAGAGAGATTTGCGAAATAATTGTCAGTGGCATTCAGCCGCTTCAAAATATCGGTCTTCTAAGTTATCTTGGAGAGGAGCGTAAAGAGGAATGGCCGCAGCATTGGATCACGAGAGGATTTATAGGTACGGTAATGACAAGAAAAAAAAGAAATTTTAATTTAAAAAATGAAAAAAATATACTTTGTAAATTGTTACTTTGTATGTCTAGTATTTCAATACTGGTAATGTAAAGATTCGGGTGTTTGCAATTATAATCATTTATTGAATATCAAAATTGTCAAGAAAAATTTTAGATAACCGCAAACTTCGCATATATTAAAAAGAAAATGACGCGACACATCTAATAGTCATTATTATATTATACATTAATAACGTTTCAATAACTAAATGCTTACAATTAATTATTGATAATACTATTTTTCAGCCGTGGAGAAGTTGTTATCGTCGAGCGCGGGCAAATATTGCGTCGGCGATGAGATAACGTTAGCAGATTGTTGTCTGGTGCCACAGGTATATAATGCACGAAAATTTCACGTTGATTTGAAACCTTTTCCCATGATTCTGAGAGTAGACCGTCATTTGGAACACCATCCGGCCTT